GTTAATTAAATCACTACAAGACATGAGAGCATTTACATGTCAGTTACTTGCAATTTATAGAGTCAAAAATAGCTCTTAAACCAGTGATGGCGAACCTATGACACGCGTGTCAGAGGTGACACGTAAACTCATTTTTTTTGGTTGATTTTTCTTTGTTAAATGGCATTTAAATATATAAAATAAATATCAAAAATATAAGTCTTTGTTTTACTATGGTTGCAAATATCAAAAAATTTCTGTATGTGACATGGCACCAGAGTTAAGTTAGGGTTTTTCAAAATGCTGACAATGCCCTGACTGGTTTGGCTTAGTGGATAGGGCGTCGGCCTGCAGACTGAAAGGTTCCAGGTTCAATTCCGGTCAAGGGCATGTACCTTGGTTGCGGGACCATCCCCAGTAGGGGATGTGCAGGAGGCAGCTGATCAATGTTTCTCTCTCATCGATGTTTCTAACTCTCTATCCCTCTCCCTTCCTCTCTGTAAAAAATTAATAAAATATATTTTTAAATATGCTGACACGCCAAGCTCAAAAGGTTCGCCATCACTATCTTAAACAGTGAAAGGACTAAAATTGGATAACTCAAAAAGGTGTGCAATAGATAAATGAGAGGCTTTCCACTGAAATACAAAATTTTTCCTACATTTTTTTTGAAAGAGAATATGTTACTGGAGCTTAGATGGGCTCATCAGTAACTCAATTGTACTTCCTGTGTCTCATCTACACCAGCTACCTCTCTACCCACCACTGTCATTGTTATGAACACTTTCCTCTTTCCCAGCCTCCCTGTCCTTGCTCACAGCGTAATGGCCAAGCCTGGATGTTTTTCCATCATGTTGCTTTTCTGAGCCCTAATTCCACTTTAAACAGAGTCTAAGGTAAAGAGAAATTGTTCTAGACAGCTAACTGTAACCACTTGCATGAAAATCTCCTGGAAGTGCATCTTAAGAATGGAATTCCTTGGAACCTTCCAAACTTGTTGAGACAAAATCTGGTGGGGGCAGGGGCAAGTTTTTGGACAATAAGTTTGAGACTCGCTGGCTTAAGTATAACAAAAAATAATATGTTTAACCCTATTCATCTAAACTAAATGAGACTGTGGAATCTCAGAGGGAAGATGGGGGTGGGTGGGTGGTAAGAGATCAACCAAAAAACTTATATGCATATATGAATAACCCATGTATAGAGACAATAGAGTGGTGAAGGCCTGGGGTGGGGGTGGGGGTGCTAGAAGGGGTCAATAGGGGGAAAAGAGGGACATCTGTAATACTTTCAACAATTAAGATTTAAAATAAAACAAAATCTGGTATGAAAGTTGCTGGAAATTTGCAAAAAGCAGGTTAATGGTGGAATTAGGAGATGCAATACTAATGACCTTCCCTGTAATTTCTATCAAAATCTGGCTATGATTATTTTCAAATTGAGTATCTGGGACATTAATCCATTAATAACCTTTCTAGGCACTTGGTTAAGTTTTATTTTATTGTATTTCTTTTTTAACTGAAAATATAGTCAGACACACATTAGATAACAAACACAATAAAGAAAAATTCATAATCATTTTGTTGTTTTCATTCTCTTCATATTATTTTCCATTCTATTGCAGTTTAACTAATTATTTATTCAAATCTGTTGATCTTGAATTTTCTTATTATGTCAATGCTCAAATTCTAAGAAATTATTTTTCCTTTTCTAGATAGCATATCTGTTTTATAATAACATTTAACTCTAATAAATTTCAATTTTGTTGTATCATATAAAATTAACTTTTGTTTCCAGATCATAATTCAAATTCTGATAACTCATTGCCTAGACTTAATCTGCTCCTATTTTTATGCATTACAATTGGTTCCAAAGAGCTATATCTCTGCCTGCAGGATGAACACCATATTATTATTATCATTTCTTTTAAATACATTTTGCAATGAACATGTGAACACAGATATCTCTTCAAAGTAGTGATTTTATTCCCTGTGAGACAACACCAGAAGAGGGATTACTTGATCATATGGTAGCTCTGTTTTTGTTTCTTTGAGGAAATGTCAAATCCTTTTTTCATAATGTCTACCTATACCAATGTACATTACCACCAACAGTGTAAAAGGGTTCCCTTTTTTCCACATCCTTTCCAACATTTGTTATGTTTTTTTTATTATAGCCATCCTAATATGTATAAGGTGAAATCTCATTATGTATTTGGTTTGTATTTCCCAGATGATTGGTGATGTTAAGCATCTTTTCATATACCTATTAGCCATTAATGATAGCCAAGATACGGAAACACCTAAATGTTCATTGACAGATGAATGGACAAAGACATTTTGGTATATATAATGTGATATTATTCAGCCTTCAAATTATTCAACATTTGCAACAACATGGATGAATCTGGGAAATATTATGCTAAGTAAAATAAGCCAGATACAGAAAGAAAAAACTGCATGATCTCACATGTGGAATCTAAAAATAGTTCATATACATAGAAGGACAGAGTAGAACAGTGGTTAGGAGACTGGAAGAATAGGAAGATGTTGATCAAAGGGTACAATTTGCAATTATGTGTGATAAACAAGTCTAGAGATCTAATGTACAATATGATGACTATAATTAATAACACTGTATTGAATGCTGGAAATTTGCTAAGAGTAGATCCCAAGTGCTCTCATCACACACCAAAAAATTAAAAAGTAACCATGTGAAGAGATGATATATTAATTAGTTTGACTGTAGCATTATATGCATAAAATGATAATGCTTTACACCTTAAATATATGCAATTTTTATTAAAAAACAAAACATACAAAAATCAATACATTATACTTTTTGGACCATCCACATACTTATACTTCTTTAGGAAAGTTATTGATAATATCTATCTACTTAAATTTCTAAGTGAATATAGATTTATTTTCTTGAATTCTTTGACTTATTGGATTTTTATTAGCAGCAACATTAAATCTAAACTATAATTTGGGAATGGGCCACAAAATATTCAGTTTTTTATCCAAAACTTTGCAAACATTCCGTGTGTGTGTGTGTGTGTGTGTGTGTGTGTGTGTGTGTACATATATATGTATTGCATAAAACTTTGATCTGACTCAATATGATTTTGTGGTTCATTTATTCACAAACATTTCTGATCATACTTTGTTTTTATTGCTAGTATAAATAATATCTCTACTATATTATATTCAGCTGCTATGCAAATCATGTATGGTATAGATTTTTAGATAACATAGATCATTGCTAGCCACAAGGTTTTATTCTTGAGGCTGGCAAAACCATAATAAAAATCATTGTCTCCTAAAGAGTATGATTTTAAAAAATAATTTAAAGCCAAATTCACTATAGCTAAAATATAAGAACATTAATTTGCTAGAAATCATCTACTTAAAAAAAACCTCAAATTTATCAGACTTCAATTGTCTATTGCCATAGGGCCCCAATATGCTGAGATAGATCCTCCTACAATTTCATATTGGGCATACTGCATCTCATTTTAAAATTTCATAAGCCAGATTTTAATGATTTTAAAATTAATGACCTTTAGATTTACATTCTCTGTTGTTTTTTGTTTTGCATATTCTGTCTCTATTGAGTTTGTTAGGGGCATTTTTTTAAATATTGTTTTATTGATTTTTTTAGTGTTTTAGAGAGAGAGGAAGTGAGAGAGATTAGTAAGATTTTCTCTACAGGCAATATCAAAACAATAAATCATATCTTGATTTGCGCCATTTAGCAATTCATGGGTCAATATTCCCACCGTGGTTGATTGCAAACTACCAACATAATTTCACTAAATGTGCAGCTGGGGAGAGATGTGCAGTAGTACACTATTATACAATATTTCAGCCATATGGATACTATAGATGAATAATGTAACAAAATAATTAGGGAGTTTTGAGTATCTATTAGCCTTTGTTTTTAATATGGTATTTTAATTGTAAGCTTCTATAATTTAATTTCAAATAATTACTGTGTTTAACAACCTGCTTACCGAATTTTCTGAAAATGTAATAATGGACTCTCACAAGCTGGTATGAACTGGCTCCAGCCTGCAAGTGAAATAAAATCTGAATGAGGAGGCTCTGCATATGCAATATTGAAGGCTAGTTTATAAGATGGACTTGGCCTATGAGATAAGTTGCAGACATGTTACCTTTAATTAATGTAGCTTTTATAAAAGTAAGCAGTGGAAAATGCAAGTTTGAAAGATATTAGGCATGTTATTAAGTGACTTGAAATTATTTAATGAGTTACTACTCTATTTAAGATAGGGTAATGTGCCCTGGTAATATATAAAGGTAAATACAGATTTAATTTCTACCTTTGGGGAATGAACACTCTAGTTGCTGGATTAGACCTGCAAACAGCACAAATGTTGTAAGGAATGTATTATGATAAATATAGGTATGTTCTGAGAGCTATGGGAGAAGATGACAGAGTGACTGACTGACATCACATCTGTGGTACTTTCCCAATAATTTATAGCCTCAATCTAATCATATGGAAATATCAAGCAAACCTATATGGAAGAACCGTCTATAAAATAACTGACCAGTCTTATTTACAAGTTCTTGAGTCACTATCATCTCATTAAAAATCTGTTAAGCCCAGTTGCTGTGGTGCAGGGGTTGAGCATCAATCTATGAACCAGGAGGTCACGGTTTGATTCCTGGACAGGGCACATTGCCCAGGTTGCAGGCTCATTCCACGTAGGGGTGTGCAGGAGGCAGCAGATCAATGATTCTCTCTCATCATTGATGTTTTTGTCTCTCTTTCCCTCTTCCTTCCTCTCTAAAATGAATTTTTAAAATAAATAATAAACAGCTGTTATAATCACACATTTTATAAATTTGACAAAGGTTGAAAATACCTGAAAATATACTATTTAAAAATATTTTTCATTAAATCAATAAAGTGATTAAAATGTTACCTTCTAGCTTGTCTAAAATAAGAGTGTACAGATAGTTTTATAACATGTCTATCACTTCTCTTGACAGGAGACTCAGCTAATCTAACCTGCAGAGCTTTCTTTGGGTACAGTGGAGATGTCAGTCCTTTAATTTATTGGATGAAAGGAGAAAAATTTATTGAAGATCTGGATGAACATCGAGTTTGGGAAAGTGACATTAGGTAAAATAATTTTTTTCTTTTACCTTATAGTCAAGATTAACATTTACTCTGTTAGTGTCGAGAAAGTAAGCTAAAAAAGAAAGAAGTTTTGTTTTGTTTTGTTTTACTATCATAATGACAACATTATAACATATACTGGCAAAGAGGCAAAACACTGTTAAGAGACTATGGAATTGTAAAACATGAATGCCATTTGTAAAGAATTTAAGAGAAATAAAAAGGAGTTTTTCATTGAGGAGTGAACTGAATGTGAAACAGACCAAAATACAGTTGAATATAAAAAATGTGATATTGTGCCTTTTGTTTGTAAGAGCTCTTTTTTTAATTGTTAAGAGGAAATACTAACAAGATAAAAGGACTCAACCAAACACAATTTCTGTCATTTCCTTTTATATGTTTTCATATTTGAGACATCAAGTAGACTATAAAGCACTTGGTAGGAATGATAAAGGATACATAAAATGTTTTAATTACCTTTTTAGTCTTACTTTAAGGTCTAAATATGAATATAGTGGGAATGATAGAGAAGAGAATAAACACTCGAAATACCATCTATTTGAGGACATAATTCTTAAGCCTCTTTTAAAAAACAATTTATTTGTTCATTTACCTTTAAGTATTGAGGTATTCAGTTATGACTAAAATTATGCTTGGGCATAGATACTCATTTTTTATTGATCTTAGAGAAAAGAAGAGGAGAGAGGGAGAGAAACATCAATGTGAGAGAGAAACCTCAGTTGCCTCTGGCACATGCCTCGACCCAGGATCAAACTTGCAACCTGGGTATGTGACCAGACCTGGAATCAAACCTGACACCTCTTGGTGTATGGGACAAAGCTCCAACCAACTGAGCCATACAGGTCAGGACCATAGATACTGATTTTTAATCATAATGAACAGAAGCAAGGATAGTAATAATAATTAAGTTATGACTAAATCCAAATGCTGATCATTTGTAAACACTCTCCCATCTAAAGGTCACAACTTCTGGGAGTACATGAGCACTTTATCAAAGATTCCTCTTCTTGGAAGAGGACACTTTTAATAACAAGGACTTTTAAACTTGATCAAAGGTATAAAGGAAAAAGTTTTTCAATAAAATATAAAAACACATAAAACCATCATATAAGGTTATTTCTACTAGGATTTTTTTCCTGGCAACAACTATACAAGAATCTTATACTCCAACTGCGTTCTGAAATGCCCAGATGGGCAATCCTCCAATATGTACTAAAGTGTTCCTCTGCCATTTATCATTTACTCATACACTTTGAAATGCTAACGTTAAAGAACAACAAATCTCCTAATGTTCCCCCTTTCCCTTTTTGTGGGTGGCCAGGGAATGTTCTAGAAAGGTATTATTCTTAAATTCTGCATTAGAAAGTGTTGTGCAGAGATGAGTTACCAGACAGATGGGAAGGTAGAGGGGGTTGAAACTTTCTGAGCAGGGAAAGGGAGCTTCAACTCTGAAATTTTCCACTTGCTCAGAAAGATTGCTAAAGTCTTTGACAGTGAGATTAGTGAACATTTACCATTAATTTTAAATGTCACAATTAAGCACTTCATCAGAATACTTTGTCTACATGTTTATAATTTCATATTTCTTTAAAAACAGACAATCGATTTGTATCATTTTAAAAAAGGCCAGGTTGGAAGTTTTAACTGAAATGTCAAAGTAACTCAAAATTTTTCTGTTCTTCCTTTTTTTGATTAACCTGTATACAATTAGTCCTCTAGCCTAAGACATTAGAATATCTATCTCACTTTTACATCGGATTTCTTCTTAAAGGGAAAGCAATTCCTAAACTTTTCTTCAAGGTCTCTCTCACCTCTTTATTATGACAGTGCAATTGTCCTGTTAAGAGAGATAATGAACTGCAACTTCATTAACATCTACAAAGACAAACATACTCATTAGAAATGAGAAGGGCACGATATGATTTTATTAAGATAGCATAAATCCATAGCCAAATTTGAAGTAAAGATGCTGTAGGTATTTTCACATCAGATTTAAATTCATCTATATATTTTTTTGTCGTGTATGTGTATGTTTGTGTGGGGTTTTTGTTTCGTTTTGCTTTATATTTTAGAATTCTCAAGGAGCATCTTGGGGAACAGGAAGTTTCCATCTCATTAATTGTGGATTCTGTACAAGAAGGTGACTTGGGAAATTACTCTTGTTATGTTGAAAATGGAAATGGACGTCGGCATGCCAGCATTCTCCTTCACAAACGGGGTGAGTATCACCTTCTAAGCTTGAGTGGTCAACTGAACATATAATGAGAGGGAAATAAGTGGGAACCAGAAAAAAAAATGTTTTTCTACATAAACTTATTCTAAATAAAATAATCACATTAGCATTTGGTTTATCAAGGCAGATAACACAGTAGATGGGTGACTAGCTCAGACTCTAGAGTCAAATTTAGATTTATTGCTTTGCTTTAGTACCAACTGTATAACCTTGGGCATGGTATCTAACTTCCCTGTGCTTCAGTTTCCTGATATGTGTCAACTCTTCAGTGTGTTTTAAGGATGAAAGAAGACAAGAATTAAAGAGTTAGGCATAAAGCATATACAGAGGAAGTATTTAGTTAAATATAACTTATTAGTGTTAGAAAGAAGCAAATCAATGAAAAATAACTGAAGTAGTTTTAAATCCAAGATTGTGTTCCCTATTAGAGGATTATTCATTTAGTGTAAAAAGATGTCCTATGGATTCCCTATTGTATTACTTATTGATATTTTTCTGCTTTGGATGACTTTTACATGTGCAGTATCATCCCATGATTAATAATGATTCATTCATTGTGCATTAATGAATTATTATTCAACTATAATTTATTAACAATGATCAAGTAAGATAGGTTGTGGATGATTGCAACATCTGCCTCACTAAATCTGATCCCACAACATCCCTAATGCCTTATGCACAAGGTTAAAATATATATAAATATATATTAAATTGTTTGAAATTAGTAATAATTATAAAATTTGATCCATGCCTTTTAATTGGTGATTTTTTTCATATACAAGAGAGAAATATTTTTCCATATTATGCTAAGTGAAAACTCTCTAATTTTTGCAACAATTACACTTGATGTTCTCCTACTCAGCAAATTTACAATGATTTTAAATTCAAAGTGTATGTTTAATCCTAGACCCTTTGAGGTTTGAGAAGAAAAAGAACATTAAAGACTATATCCCCCAGTTTATTGGGCAATAGAATCCCTTTGAATAATGTTACTTAAAAACTATTAAAACAGACACCTCTGTTGTCAAGGTGACCACAGTATTAAAATACTCTACTTTGGGAGAATGTGAGTAAGGTAAAGGTAAACATCATTTAGCAATATGATTGTTTCTTTCTCTAGCCAACATATGTATTTAGTCAATGGAGGAATTTAGAGTAGAAATATATTATATATGTAAAAGAATAGAAATTGCTTGTCAGGGTTGGAAAGAACTTAAATGTTATGTAATTGAACTACTCCACAACATCTTCCCAAGTTATCTAATAGCTTATACTGGATCATATTCCTTCTCAAGTAAGTCAATTCTATCTTTGGAAAACCTTACTATTAGATAAGCATCCCTATTTCACTGTCTGCCCCTTGACCGCAGTTCTAGACTTTTAATCTATCTTTCCCAAAACAGCCCTTTAAAAAGTTTGATGACAGTCACCATGATCATTCTGGATCTTTACTTCCCTAGATTCAACTTCTATAGTCTTATTCACTCTTCCTTTGTGTGCATAAAATACTTTCACCATCCTGGCCATTCTCTTCAATATGCTTTAATCAAAGAGTCTAAATTATTCCCCACTAAGGGAAGTAGTAGAGAGAATATGTAGGGCACAAATAAAAATCTGTTTACTTAGACTACATATATTTCATTTTGGGACAAGGCAGGAGTGACAGTTAAGTGTTATAATTAAGGAGAGAGGAAGAAAAATGAAATGTATCTAAGGAGGATACAACTATTAAAGTTCTGTTCTTATAAACAGGCACACAGCCAAGAAGGGTTAAACACCCAAGGCTATTTTTAACATGTGTGACCTAAGGTCAAGTTGCCCATAGCCAGAAAAACTTCCAGTACCACAAAAATAAATGGTTGAAGAATCAAGGAAACTGAAAAAAACTTACACAATAATGTCTGACTATCTAAACATAAAGAGGAAAATTGTGGCCAATGTTAGAGCACCTTTCAATAGTTTTATCTTCCACAATGGTTTATATCTTCCACAATGGTTGGTATAAATAGAAATTTAATATAAATTTCTATTTATACCAACAGCATTTTATTCTTAGTAAGATAAAAGCATTAAGAAACCAAAAAGAATCTTCCAAGGTCACATATTCTAAAAGTCCCTCTTAAAGTTAGTGAGTGCCTTCTTTTTTTAAAAAAAAAAAAATATTGTATTGATTTCAGAGAGAAAGGGAGAGAGAGAAAAAAAAGAGATAGAAACATGAGTAATGAGCGAGAATCATCAATGAGCTGACTCCTGCGCACCCCCTACTGGGGATCAAGCCCACAACCGGGCACTGAGCCACACTGGCCCTCACTGTGCCTTCATTCTAAGGGAACTACAACTGAGTCATCAATTCGCAAAGGCAACAACACATCCAATATCCTACCCTTGAGAGATTTATACTTGTGTGGAATTATCAGAGAAATGCATGGATGGTCTTCCACTATTGCTGGTGGGAGTGGAGTTCATGGTGTACCACTGGGATAAGCATTTCTGGAGGCCCCCATGGGAGGATGGGATGTAGTAGAAAGCTTTATTTTTATAGAGTTACATCCATCCCTCAGATGGCAAAGTCCCATTTTCCTTAATCCAGTCCTGGAAGATGTGCAGCTGGGGATTAAGCAGAGGTAGAAGCAAGGCCAATGTCCAGAGTGTCCGTTCCATGGTAGAGCTGGGTCTGGTTTAGCATCAGGCTAGTTACAGTCCATCAGTCCATTGTATGTGGGATCCACATGGCTATGAGCCATATGGAAGAATTTAGGGGAGCCAGGAGGGCACACCCCTTGCAACAAGAGTTACAAAAGTCCCAAGAGAGCAAGAGAGAGAACTCCTTTGTTTAGGAGCTTAAGTATCTGAAATCTTCCCACTTGCATTGGCCAAGCCTACTCTGGCCAATGACCTGATCCAAGGTGTGACTGACAGATAAGTACCTTCCCTATTTCACCCAGACTTTTCTGGGCATGCGTCTAAACTGCAGCTTCCTGGCAAAGCTGCACAGATGTCATGTCTATAAAATTTGGTCTTCCCTTTGCTCCTTTCCTCTTATTCATAACCAGGTTTATTGCAATAGTATCAGAATGATCTATCCCAACTATTTGTGGAAAAAAGAGATGATGTTGGTTAACATATGGCATAACTGCAAGTTCACCAGCTCTGCAAGTTTCAAAAGGTTCGGGCACACACAGAGCATGTAAGCTAATAGTTTGGGGTTTTGATCACAGTGTCCCTGAAAGAGTCAAATTGCTGTCTTGCTAGCAATTAGGTAAATTATCAGATGAGTTGCTATATTACTCACAAGACTAAAGCTGAGAGAAGGAACTGGAAGCTGTCACTATTAATCATATTTTACTACCATTGATTCATAAATCCCTTAACTTATCATACAGGCCTTCAAAGTCTTTCTATTTAAAACCTTCCTAGAGAGGTATGTTAAAGCATTTGAAGAACACAGATTTTTTTCAAGCCACAAATTATCAGTTCTGACAGGTGAACTTGCTAGGGCACACCTTTGCCAAAGTTACCTAAGCATTTTTTCCTCCACTGTTACTTTTTCTTCAATATTGTTGAGCTAATAGAAGTGACATTAGAGCTTTCCAGTGGGTGGTATGGATTCTTGGAGATTTTATTCACACGTATGAAATGAGTCTTCCTAAATGCCAAGAGGATACCGCAATAAATAATTCAGCTAGACCTGAGCTGGGCTAGATTCTGGACCAGCCTATTATCTAGAAAAAAAATAAAAAAGCTTAGTTCCACAAAAACTGGCTGAAATTTTACAGAGAATTGGACCATAGAAAACCTTGCTTGAGAATATTCAAGTTGTTTATTTCTGCAGACAGGAAAGGCATTTAGACAGTTAAGATTATGTCAGACATTCAATATAGACATATTTCACATACTATACAGAGAACTAGATACAATGAAAGAGAGACAAAAAATGAAGAGTCAAGGGCCATTGGACTATATTAGTCTTTGATTGTCCTGCCCCTTATTCCTCACTCCAGTCCCCGGCCTGACAAGCTTGAGAATTAGACCCTTGCTTTACAAAGAACCAAAGCACAGTTGATACATTCACTACTTTGTCCCACTATTGTTCATACATGACAGAGTTCCATATATGAGTCTCTGAATATTTTCCCCAGATGCGCTTGCTTCGGTTTCTAATTGCAGGGGCCTGACTTGACTTGCATCAAACACTGACCTTCAGTTTCCCTCCTAAACCCTGAGCTTTCCAATTCCCTCCATTTTTACAATTTCCATTTCCCTGACACAAGCAATTCTCCAGATGGAAACTGTTGGGGTTCAGAGTAGGCCAACCCAAAATATCCCATAATGACATATTGATTACTTTGAATTAAAGTCACTTAAGAAACTTCCAGTGCAAGAACACTCTGGCCTCTCTCTTTCTCTGCCCCCTCTTAAAGCAGGAGATAAATCTCCCATGTGAATAGTACCCACCCTGCATGTGAAGGCTAAGAAAGACACCCTTATCACTAGAGTTAAGGAATCCAGAACAAAAAGCTCACATATACAAACCTTGTTGCCTCTTTATTAATTTACTACCCAAGCTCAAACCTTGCTTAGATTTCTGACTAATGAACACTAACATTTTTTTGTCCTGTCAATTCCTCAGACGTTTATTATCTTAGTCTAAAAAACATAAAAAGGTGCCCACTGCAATCATTTCTGTCAGCATTATTATGTTATCTTGAGCATCATTTATGATTTCCCATGCACACATATTAAATTGGCTTTTCTCCTCTTAATCTGGTCTTGTGTCAATTTTATTATTAATCTATCCATAAGAACTCAAGAGGGGCAGAGGGCAAAGTTCACCCTTCCTGACAATACCCAGTAGGACTGGCTCTGGCCTCAGTCCTGGCTGCTCTTGCACCCATCAGCCAGTCATAAACTTCTTCTGCGTTCTCTGTGGTTTGGGTCCATACTCTAACTGTGCCTGACCTCAAAGTGTGGACATCATTATTATT